CCAGCTGGACTCCCTACTGGTGTTCGCAGCAGTGACGGCAGCGGCGCTTCTTCCCACTGCGCTTCACACGAATGTTTGTGTTGTCCTCTGGTGTACTTGCGATAGGCTGTGTCGATAATATCAAGAGTAACCCAGAGAAAAGTCATTATACAAATCGATAAGTAACACATGTGAGCGAAATTGTGCCGGTCTACTGAAGCTCAGCCCATGAAAGGGGAAAAGCCTCTGGAGGCCGCTTTTGCTTATCGACGGCTGGCTCTGACTGCGTTGCGTATTTGCGTCGCGGCGTTCAGAAGACGACTGGGAGGGCTATACGTGGGAGCATTCGTAGCCGGCATTTAGATGACGTCAGACCACATGCTACCCTCATCATGTTGATTATCCCATATTTTCACCTTTTTTGTCCTCACTTACCCCACTCCAGATTTGAAATTCCACTTGCCTCTGTCAGTTACATGGTCCTTTAATATTTGTTTGTTTATAGGTGCGTGTCGGCTGTTATATGGCAAAATATAAGCAAGGTGAGGTTGGTATCATAGATTTGGGAGGCTCCAACTGGTAAAATAAAACCCAGTTGAGGTTACCACCTCTTTCTGCTTGATCGCTCTTGAATTTATGCGAAGCGTACAGGATACCAGTAAATTACCAAATTAAGTATTTTGAAAAGTATTTTGGTTGGTTATACTTCAGGAAAAAATGCGAAATACGCCGAGAACGTTATTGACGACGACGATGACGAGATACCGATTGTAGCACGGAAACTTTGCGAGACCACCAAAGAAGTGAGAGCTGTAGAACCTTTTTCCTTCATCAAAGACTTCTCTGAGTGGCTCGATGGAATGTGGCAATGGCGCTTAGAATGGTTGTTGAGGAATGATAAGGGTAACCCCAAAGGTTGTCCCAATAGCCGTTCAGAAATCGCGTTGTGGACCAGGGCTTCCCTAAACAGGGTGCGACAGCTCACTGTTGAAAAGAAAATTGGAACAGATTAGAAAAAGTAGTTTTTCAGGGACACTTATACTATATTTCAAGCATTCGGGCTATTTTACAGCAGATCATGGGGTCTCTTCAGTTTTCGTAACATTTAGAGCGTTCCGCGATGACAGGTAGGAGGGGTTGAACATGATAGGGAACTTTTTTCTTGGTGGTTTCCCCGGTTCCAGTTTCTTTGAATTTTTATTCGTCGGGGTTCCTGAAACCCTCCGGGGCCTAAATAAGGTTATAGTTCCTATCTAATTCTGTGTATGCTTACGTGCTGAAATATCCCTACAAATTTGACAGGGAAATGAACTTGGTCATGGTTTTAATTGGCCCTGGAGAAGAAAACGGGGATACATGCCTTGTTTAGCATTACTCGGCAGGAGGTTTCGTATTTGTATTGTGGTAAGCTCGGCCGCTTCTGGGTAGCGGAGCGGGTCTTCATTCTGAAGGGAAATACCTCCTTCAGAGAGGGATAGAGTGGGCAATCCAGGGTGGCAGGAGTTCCCCTCTTCTCTCGGATTCGTTATCGAGGCTTTTCTGGGACATGCATATGTTAGAGATAAGAGCCTAAGTGTCGGGAAGGGGTAATTAAAGGTAGGTAAGCAAGTAGAGAGTGACTAGCTGAAGGAGCTTACGAGTCAGCACTTGAGGACATCGAGCTATATGACCAATTTTCTAATCGCTTTAATATGCGTCTGAGGCTAGTTTTTTTTCTATTATTCTAGGTAGTACTTTGCTACTTACAGTTGATTTCTGCTGTACTTCTCCATTCTTCACTGAGCTGCACCTCCTTTCCTTTAGAATTCTCTGCTGTACATGGCCTACACTCAACAAATTTAGGTGGCAATTAATCCAAGTACTGGTCGTAACTGCATTTGAATCGATTCAGCAAAAAAAAAATCAGCGTTCCAAATAGCAATAATCATAAAAATCAAATAATTGGTTCGTTACCCCGTTCCAAACATGTAAACGCGTTTTAATGGCATTGGCTTAAGTACCACCCGTGTACTCATGAGGGTTATTATCAACTCGCTAAACGAATCGTTTCACGTAGATATAAAGATGTCACCAATGTAGGACTACCTACCAGTTTTCCTGATAGAGTTCTACCAAAAATTCAACCGAAGTAAGTAAATACATTTCAGATCGATCAACCGATTCACGCCTCAACATTTGCACTTGATAAGAAGCCCTTCAGTGCCATTAACGCCGACCTCGTGCCCGCGTTCATAGATGATCCGAAAGAATTGTGAGATTATGATCGAATGAAAAACTTTACAAACTGAGTTATTTATTGCTGGGCTTATCTTACAAAGTTCTTACTGCATTTTTCAAAGAACCTTGGGAATTGAGCGCCAGCCTGGAGCTACCTTTTTAAAGTTATTATTTTACCTTTTTAAATCTATTTAATGGATACTACAGAACCATGTCCTGCAAATAAGCTCAAGCAAAAATCACAATTTTATTATTACAATATATTGTTATGTTATATTATGTTATATTATATTATACCTTTTTATATTGTATTATATCATATTATATT